GACCCTCCGCGCCGCGGCTTCCCCCCCGGCGGCGCAGCGCGCGTGTCCAGACGTCGGCCCGGCCGCGCCGCGCGGACAGCTTTACTTTTGTATTTTCCAGGTCCGTGTGCGAAGCCTAATAAAATGCTACTGGTTCATGGTTTGGGGTTTTTTCCCCCTCCCTAAAGGATCTTATTTGTGGCGGGGGCTCAAGGTTTTTAAAAAATAGGGAAAGCTAGAAATCGCCACCGTTTCCCCCCCGCCCCCGGAATGACTTTGTGCCCTGGTTTAAATATTAGGAAAGGAAAAAATTCTCACTTAGCTTAAAATGTGTCCTGCCCCCTTAAAGGCTGGATGTGTTTAAATGTAACCCATTGTAGTCATTTTTAAAATCTTTGTTCCTTTTATTGTGTTTATATTTTGGCTATGTGATGCCCGAGTTGTGTCAGTGACAAATTTAGACAATTATCTTAGTGCTGCACAGATTCTAATGCTTTTAAGTCAGCAGACAAAGAGCTCTAGGAAATTTCTTTTGATTTGTTGAATGAGTATAACATTCCATCCAAGAGAGGGCCGTGCCTGCAAGTCAGGGAACAAGTAAGTGTTCAAGCCTGTCCTCATTAGCTTTTCTTACAAGAAAATACGTCTGCTTTGCGTTTCTCTCCACAACGAAGGAAGAATTGGGGTCAGTTTTAGAAGTTGAGTTTTCTTCAGGACGTCCTCATGAAATCTTCTCTCGGCTTTCGCATACTTAATTTGGGGTGGGCGTTTCTCTAATCTATATGGCTGGATGGGGTGATCCTTGCTTATCTCTGTGCAGTAACTAGTGCTGACTGAGCAGGAGGTAAGAAGAGATTAAAATTTTGTGGTCCTAATGAGGAACTACTTTATAGGGTTCTTTTAAAAATGTCACTTTTTGTTTACTTGTACCTGTAGCATTATAGCTCACACATAGCTAGCTGTATGATTTTACCAGTAAAATCTTTATACTTTTGAATAGATTAATGGGGGGATTAAATAGTGGCTTCGTTTTTGTTATTATTTTGCATATCGTTGGCCTTTGTAATCTACTGCCTGCTGTGATAATTCCTATACAAAGTATGGCCACAGAAGGATAGTTGATTGTTTTCATGGTTCATCCTGTTTTTTAAAATGTTACTGTCACTGAAATATTTTTCTGAAGTTTTATCAGAATTAGAGGCAACTACAAAATTATTGCTGATTGATTTAATTTGCACTGTTATTAGCTGGTGGCTTTATTCCTACTGGTTGCTATAGTAAACTATGGCTCTTATTTTATTGTAGTTGAGTAAAATGTTTTACCAAGTATAACCAGTCTTGACTTACTTTGGCTTTTAAACTGCTAAACGTTTAAAAAATCTTTATTCTTCAAAGTGAGCTGCAGTTCTATTTGCATCTGTATACTTTGAAATTCTCTGTAATCTATGTGTTTGCCATTTTCTTCTATCTTAAATGGTCGTACTTTTATGAAGCTTTTCATGTGTGTCTGTATTTTGCTAAAGCACAGTATAAACCTATTTCCAAAAGTGTAAGGCATTCAACTGTTTTAGAAGAATCTTTAATTTGAGGATGAGATGAGAATAAGTTGGTGAAACTGTAGTAGAGTTTCTTTCTTCACCAGATGAATTTAAGAATGGAGAGTCAAGTTGGAGAAGGGGAGAAGGCACAAGGGACTCCGCTGTTCTTTGTGGGTGCTCTTTAGTTCTTAAATTCAAGGTCTTCAATGTAACCAAATTGAGAACAGTTGCTCCAGTGGAAGGAGAATTTGAACTACTTCCAAACCTGTACATTACTTGAATTTGGAGTTGAGAAGAAAGAGGTTCTGTTTCAGCCTCTTTAGTTGTATCAATTCACTTTCAACTGGGATTTGAACTCAAATGTAGTATTTACTAGCCTAATATTTAATAATTATAGACTTTTTAATTTTGACCAGAACTACATAAAAAATTTTAAAACTCAATTGTTCCAAATAGGTTTTTTGAGTATCTGTAGTCTGCCAACAAGGAGGGATATTAAGTTTAGATAGTCTCTACCTTAGAGTGCACTGCAGTGGGGGTGAGAGACGCCTACATAATTATAATACCCTGACAGGTGGTATATTGTAGAATCCACTCTTTTATGTGTGTCTGTATCTATAGAATTTTGTTGCTGGGGGAGAGGAAAGTCAAAAATTCTGTGCACTTCAGGAAAGCTTATACTGTGTGCATTGAAGTAGTGTGTACTTTGCCTGTTTGGGGATCAAAAGCTCTTACTGTAGAATTTAGTTATTGATCTGTCTGGCGCTAGGTCACTGATAGCAGTGTTGATTTAGTAATCTGACCCCCCAACTTTAAAATGAAAATGTGTATAGGTAGTGGCTGGAAAAAAATTAATTTAGAAGTTATGGACCTAGACATCTTCATAAGTCCACTTGCCTTTAGTTCATGAGTTGTCATACTTTATATTTAGTCATCATGTATCTACTCCAGCCAATTGTCTAGCCAATGTTGGAAAATAAGTTTATTAGACAATTATTGGTGAAACCCTATTTCTAATAAATTCATGTTTAATAGAAAACCCTCTAAGATAAGTCAGTAAGGTCAGGAGTGAGGCAGGTAGAGTTCGATTCAGAAACAGGTAGAAATGTTTAGGGGAGCTAGAACTCTGCTCACTCAGTTTTATTATTTATAAGTGTAGTTCATTCAGCTGCCTGTGAATTGTCCACTTTGTGGTTTGTGTGGCATATTTTTAGTACCAAGTTGGCTTCCTTACTGTTAGTCGAGATTTTTACAGGGATTACAAACTAATTTTAATATCTACTCAGAACATAATTAGACAAAATCAGGAAATGATATATTTCCTAAAAAGATATATACATATTAGATTATCTGCTGTTGGATTTTGCTTGCTAGTATTTTTCTTCCTTGGTATAGAATACATTTTGTAAATGCAAAATGTAACCTTTTCCCCCTGCTTATATTTCTCCAAATGGAAATGAATGTTAAATTCCCTTTATTTATTTTAAATAGAAGGGCTTTGAAACAAGTGGCCTTTGCTATGCCGTTACTGGTAGTATCATATAATGCAGGAATGGTATTACGCACTACAATTTTAGGACCACCAAAAGCAGTGTGGGGCCTGTCAGGGAGAAAGAAGAGTATAGTACAGCTATACCATATTCATCTCAATAATGGAATACAGTATATCGGTGATATTAAAATTTTATGGGAGGTGATCAGGGGAAATATGTCTAAAAATAACTCCTTGGAGGAAGGGGAGTTAGGAATAATGAAAAAAAAGTTGAGAAACATTGCCTTAAAAAGGAACTAATAGAATTTTGGTTATTTTAGTGTCCATATTATTTTTAAGTGTTTTCTCTGACTTGGCAACAGCTTCTTGTATATTGTGTAGAACATAATCTTGAAGTGTAAAATCGTGAGCAAATACCTTGCCTTTAGAATGATTGTAGTGATTTGGAATGTAGGGAATGAAAAAAAAATTACTAAGTGGATTTTTTTAACAAACCCTAAGAACTGTCGCTTACTGAAAGTTATGTGTAATGTGCAGCTCTATTGGTGATTAGCTACTATGAAAAGTAGACAGTTAAGATTGGGCAGTATTTGGTACCTAGAATAATTAGAGGTGGTAATATTGATATTTTCTTGTTTTTGAATGCCATTAAAATTTCCTAAAAGTAATAATTGAAAAGACTCTGTACATAGTAGAACTTGACACATGACCATTTGTCTTTGACAGAGTAGAAGCCATTTTTTTTGTTTGTTCAGTAGACTTTCAGAGTTCATGTTCTGTATATATGACCTCAGATATACATTTTGCATAATTTCAGAATATGCACGTTTTTCCTCTCTTTAAAATGGGAACAGAGTAGGATTTTTTTTTTCTTTACGTGGACGCTAGATGTGATATGCTGAAGCTGAAAAGGAAGATTACTGATACTACAAGAGTATGTGCTTTGAGTTGAAATTTTAGTAATGGCAGCAAATGTATTCAGATTCATTAATATTTTTTCACCACGTCCAAACGCATACCGTTGGGGCTAGAAGTACAGGCTGTGGCCTTGGAACAGAGCGAAGCTAACTAGTCCACATGGAGATCAAACCCCAGGACCGTGGTCTCATTTAGCATCACACTTCAACCAATTGGAAGCAGTCCAACTACCAGACAAAATGGCTGATCCTAAATATTGGTAGAATCATATCAATGTGGAAAATTGGTTGGTGTCAACGTAGAAATTCATGGACGGACAAAAATAGTAAGTGATTGTGATGCACCAGGTTAGTGTAGCTGCACTTATGCTTGTAAATTATTGTCTATTTATGTAAACATTGTCCTAGATTTACAGCTAATGAAAAATAATGTGCTAACCTATTTTATGAAAGTGTACATTTAAATACTTTTACTTTAGTCCTGCTATTAATAACTCTTGCATTCTTTTTTGCTCTCTCTCAGACCATATATTGTGATTATAGTCTCTGCTGAGGAGGATGGAAACACAATTCCCTTTGAGTAATAATAATAATGATAATAATAATAATTCTACTTGATGTACAGAACCGCATTGCAAGAGACTTTAAAGTGCCCACTACCCCTTGTGGGAGGCTTTATAGTATCTTAAGTGTCTGGAACCACTGCTGCAGCCACGCCACCTGAAGCTTCAGCTTCACTGAAACTTCATAACCAAACTCACCCTCCTTTTTTCTAATTTTTACTGTCACTGCAATTTGAGCATGTTACTTTGTTTAACACAAACTCAGTCCTGAAAGAGTATTTTGGTATTGCTGTACAAACAAAATAAAATTATGGCATTATTCAGTGACTTGTGGTCTTAGTTTCTGCCCATTGCTAAAGATGACTTTGTTTTCTGATTTACCTTAAGATCTTGGGCCCCTTACCAAATAAATCTTGCAGACATTGTACCTCATACCAAAATTGTTAATGTAAAGATTCTGTTATATAATTAGTGAATTAGTTAACTCAGTTATACAGATTACCTGAAGATGACTTTACAGATTTCAGATCCCTTTGGCTATATGTATAAATGGTATTTCTCCTCCTAGGTTTTTTTTTCCGTTTTCTGTTTCTTTAAAAAAAAAAAAATTCTTGGGCTGGCCCCATGGCGTAGTGGTTAAGTGCGCGCGCTCCGCTGCAGCGGCCCTGGTTCAGATCCTGGGCGCACATCGGTGCACTGCTTGTCAGGCCATGCTGTGGCAGCATCCCATGTAAAGTGGAGGAAGATGGGCACAGATGTTAGCCCATGTCCAGTCTTCCTCAGGAAAAAGAGGAGGATTGGCATGGATGTTAGCTCAGGGCTGATCTTCCTCACAAAAAACAAAAAGAAAAGAGATGAGACAAAAAAAATAATCTTAACTCGGGCTCCCTTCTGAATAACAAAACAATAGCTGTGTTCCCTGGGGGCCTCTGATACCAATATTTTGTTGATCTGTTTACAGTTGTATTACAGATACTTTCTCTGGGTCCTTCTCTATCAGTGTAAAATAGTCCCTAAAACTAGTAGCTCTTCCTTATGTGCCATTTATATAACAGTTCATCCTTAATAAATTGTATTAATGGGAGAGGATATGAGTTATGCCTGAACTCTTAAGTTTGTTGTTTTGTAGTTGTAATTGCCTCTTCTTCCTTTATTATCTCAAATATTCTACCTCATAAGATTAAAGCAGTTCACATCAATTTAGGTACTTACTGGTGGAAAGGGAGAAAGATAAAAATAGAGTTTTTCCTCTGATACCGGCTGGTCAAGCCTGTGGCCCAGTAATGGTTACCAAAGGCGATTTAAATGGTATTGTGTTCTGCCAATACCTGCATTTCATTTTTCCCCTGTTTACGCATCTGTTTCATTTTCCTTGCTTATCATTTAGGCATGTAAGTGGCTCCACTAGCATTGCTTTAATTCTGCTGGTGACGCTCAATGGCAAAGCTTTACTGTTCACTAGATCCTTGTTCATATCAACTTTCTCTTGCTAATTGACTAGATATCTAAGAAGTCAGGTAAGCATTAACTCTTTGTTGACCGAGAATAATAAAACTACTTCTAGAAACTAATTTGGATAGTTTTACCTGTATTTTATTCATTGTTTCTCTTTCCTTTGTTTATTTGTTATGACATTTGGAATTATTTACATACCCACATTTCTTCATCTCTTCCGTATGGCTTAGCTCACTGTGCCTTTTTCTAAGACTAATAGCTTTTTCAGGATTGGGAAGCAAGATCCTGAACACCAGAGAAAATAATAGTTGTATTTTTCTGCAGTCAAATATTAAAGATTTATAATGGCTTTGATTTTTGTTTGTGATATTTTTGTCAGTTTTTTTTTAAAGCTCATCTATTTGCATTTATGTATTATTACTTTTGCTTTAACAGTATCTTACTTCCAAGGAAGGTTTTATATTCTTACTTTATTTCGTCTATATGCCATTCTTTCCACAGAGAAAATGTTTCCCAAACGTTATTTCCTATATTATAATAAATATCAGTGGGAAAATAGGATTCATTGTAGATAAATTAACTTTATAGGCACTGTTCAAGAGTACATCTGTAGCATAAAGTGAGAGAAGATTTGCACTGAGATCTTTGGGCTTTTTTCTATCTTCTACTAGATTTTTAAAACAAAGTAGTTGAATGCATTTGTATTCAAATCTGTTTAGTAATAGTCTGACTACTGTATAATCTAGAGCATTATTTCTGTATCTCAGGAAGCTGAATATGGTGGGCATGATCAGATAGATTTGTATGATGATGTCATCTCTCCATCTGCAAATAATGGAGATGCCCCAGAAGACCGCGATTACATGGATACTCTCCCACCTACTGTTGGTGATGATGTGGGGAAAGGAGCAGCACCAAATGTTGTCTATACATATACTGGGAAGAGAATTGCACTATATATTGGTAATCTAACATGGGTAAGTAAACTTAACATATGAATTAAATTATTGGTAATTGATTTTTGAACTGTTCCAGTGGTTAATGTTTTTCTCTAGTTTTTATAAAAATAAGAATTTGAAGCTACTAGATTGGTTGTTCTGTATGCTTGCATATGCAATGAGGAAGGAAATACAAGTATCTTTACTTGTATTTCATAAGTTCCAAATCTTCTAGTTTTGAATTTTGTGGTCATTCAGCTTGTTTTGCTAGAGATTCCAGTTAAATATAGTTCAATTATTTTATCTTCAAATCAATTTCTTTTTTACCTTACTACTCCTACACTTCAACTATCCCAATTTTACAGAGAAAAATGCTCACCTGAGGTCTCAGATCAGGGTTTAGAACTTTAGAAGGAGAGAAAGAAACACAATATGGCTCTTGGTTTTAAAAAGTTTTCATTATCTGCTTAGTACAGTCTTGCAGAGTTTCATTTCTGCTCTTAAATTTGAAATCTGATTTATGGAAATACTGCTATATAAATTGTACTTTAATTTGGGTTGTTTTTGAGACTAAGATTATTGTTTTGAGACTATAAGATTATTTTCTAAACTTACTACACATAATAGAATGTTCAGTCTGTCTATTTATAATTTTATTAGCATTAAACCTTAAATTAAATATTCACTAAAACAGTCCTATATAATTTTTACATCTTTACTTAGAAACATTTGTTACATATAACTTGTCTAGAAATCAAAACTTGTTACCCTTCCACTTCCTTAATAGCATTTTATTTTAAGATGTTTAAATTTTTTTTTTTTTTTTTTTTTTTTGTGAGGAGATCAGCCCTGTGCTAACATCCGCCAATCCTCCTCTTTTTTTGCTGAGGAAGACGGCCCTGGGCTAACATCTGTGCCCATCTTCCTCCACTTTATATGGGACGCCGCCACAGCATGGCTTGCCAAGCAGTGCGTCTGTGCGCGCCCAGGATCTGAACCAGCGAACCCCGGGCCGCCACAGCGGAGCGCGCGCACTTAACCGCTTGCGCCACCGGGCCGGCCCCAAGATGTTTAAATTTTTAAAAAATTACTTGACCCGTCTCCCACCACCCAGTCTGAGCAATTTTATAATATTGAAGACACTAGCAGTGTCGTTATGAAGAGTGTGGTTGCTAAGGAAGACTTTGAATCTTAGCTCTCCTGTTAGTTTTGTGACCTTGGACAAGCTCTTTAACCTTGCTGTTGCATTATGTGTAAAATGGGAATCATAATAGGACTTAGAGGGTTGTTTTCAGAGTTAAATATTTGATGCTAAGTCCATGGTAGGTACTCAGTACATGTTAGTTTTTTTCTTTTCATCTTATATGCAAACATAAGATGGAATTTATTTCCCCAATTTCCTTTAAGGAGAGGAAGTGACAAGTGAGTTTGGTTTTATTGAAAACTTAAATTCATAGCAATTTAAAGATGGAAGAGATCAGAAACTCTTTAAGAGTAAAACATCTATCTTCTCTGTAAGGGTGTGTACCTTCTGATTTCCAAAACTCCTATCAAGGGATGAAGTTACATCCTCAGGTGCTTTTATGCTGTTTAAAAACTGGGGACTGACTGGCAGTAACTGCACTTAGATTTGCCCTGAGCATTAATTTTCTCTTGTTTATTCTGAGTTTACCCTTAAAAACTAAGCTGAAGCAGTAAAAATCTTAGATATGTTTTGATGGTTAATGAGGGGGAAATGTCTTGCAGTGGACAACAGATGAAGACTTAACTGAAGCAGTTCATTCCCTGGGAGTAAATGATATTTTGGAGATAAAATTTTTTGAAAATCGGGCAAATGGTCAGTCGAAGGGGTAAGAATTTTAATTCTTTTTTTCCTAATATGAGTTAGTACCTAGTGATTACAATTTTGGGGATCACTTTCTTTAAAGGTAATGCTAACTTTACACGTGTAGGATGCTTTATTATCCACATTGGCAGGAGGTTCTTGGGCAAAGGTTCGTAATCATTTCACTTTCTCTGTGATCTGGCTCACTAAAACTAGTGGAGCTGGACGTGTGGGCAGATGAGATCTATTCTTTAATTTTCCTGAGTTTTCTCCATCTGTGATGGAAATGATTATTGAAAGGACAGTTTGAAGAAGCATTACTATGCCTATGATTAAGGGATGGGGGAAGATGGGCTACTAGAGAATAGTGTGAGTATCATGGATGTTTTGCTTTATTTTCTTAGACTATTAAACCTTACAAATGAGGTAGGATCATTATAGGAACATTATAAAATACAGATATCCAAAAGTAAGAAAATAAAAAGCCACAGTCTCACCATCTATATAGATGATCACTCTTAACATTTTAATAATATATTTTCAGGTTTTTTCCTAATGTTTATATCTATTTTTATTGCAAAAAACAGGGTTACAATTCATGTTTTATAACGTCTTTGATAGAAAGAGTAAAACAAATATTTATCAATAAATATACATCTACTCTAATGTCTGATTCTTTCCATCATACTTTGTATGCTACTATAGTTTATTTTACCATCCTTATTTTTGGTTATTTGAGTTTTTTCCAGTTTTTGCCTATTATAAATAATGCTGCAGCAGGTATCATTTATATAAATCTTTAGGTGCAGATTTTGGATTTTTTTAAAGATAAATTGCTAGATGCAGAATGATAAAGTAAAGAATATGCTCATTTTATATTGCTCACTGTACCAGTTAATGCTAACTAAGAATATTTTCAAAATATGTGCCAAGTCTGACCACTTCTCACGCACTTCACTTCTACTACTTGGTCTGAGCCATTATTCTCTCTTACCTGAACTTTTGCAGTAGCCTCCTACCTGGTGTTCCTGCTTTCCCCCTAATCCCCTACAGTCTATACTACACATAGTAGAAATTGAAAAAAAGCAGCATCAATATTTGTCTGTTCAGCGTCTTCTGATGGCTTCCTGTCGCACTCAGAGTACAAGCTGGAATCTTTGCTGCAGCCTAGCAGGCACTGCATTGATCTGCGGAACAGATCACTAGGCACTGTGATCTGTTCCCACCTCTCTGACCTTGTCTTCTACTACCCTTCGTCTTCCTCGTGCTGTTTCAGCCACATTGGTCTCTTTGCTGTTCCTCAGCGCATCCTACTCAGACTTCACAGTAGTGGTTTTTTCTTCTTCGTTTACTTTGCCCCAAATATCCACATGGATCTCTCTCACTTCACTCAGGACTCTCTTTAAAGAGTTACCTTCCCTGACCACTCTGCGAAATACCTTCTTCTCCCATGACTCTGTTTCTTTTCTTTATTTTTCCTTTGTTATTGTGTATTTTACTTGTTTATTGTCTTGTCTCCGACTAGACTGTAAGCTCTATGAGAGCTCTATGAAAGAGAGGGTTTTGTTTTGTTCACTCTTGTATCCCTAGCCCTAGGATGGTGCCTGGCATGCAGGAGGTGGTGCTCAATAAATATTTGTTAAATTAACGAATTAGTTAAATTTTCTAAATGTTGTAACTCAAGATAATCTTGAGTTACACAGCAGAGTTTGTTGACTAGAATAAGAGATCTAGTTAAAGGACCATTTTGAACATTAGGAAGAAAAGGGTTCTAAGCTCATAAGGGCCCTTCTGAGAATAATCTAGACTATCCTAAAACTATATGAAATTGGTAATCATTCATTTTTTTTCTGTTTTAAGTGTATTTTTTTAATTGAGATATAATTCACATACCATAAAGTTCACCCTTTTAAGGTGTTCAGTTCATTCAGTGGTTTTTTAGTATATTTGCAAAGTTGTGCAACCATCTCCACTGTCTAATTCCAGAACATTTTGCCACCCCAAAAAGAGATCCCATACCCATTAGCAATCTGTCTCTATGGATTTGCCTTTTCTGAACATTTCCTATAAATGAAATCATACAATATGTGGTCCCATGTGACTGACTTCTTTCACTTAGCATAATGTTTTCAAGGTTTATCCATGTTGTAGCATGTATCAGTATTTAGTACTTTTTATGGATAAATATTACTCCATTATATGGATATACCATATTTTTTTTATTCCATCCATCTTTTTTTTTATTTATAATTTTATTTATTTATTTTTCCCCCAAAGCCCCAGTAGATAGTTGTATGTCATAGCTGCTCATCCTTCTAGTTGCTGTATGTGGGACACGGGCTCAGCATGGCCGGACAAGCGGTGCATCGGTGCGTGCCCGGGATCCGAACCCGGGCCGCCGGTAGCGGAGCGCGCGCACTTAACCGCTAAGCCACGGGGCCGGCCCTCTTCCATCCATCTCTTTATTTACATTGGAGTTGTTTCCGTTTTTGCTATTACGAATAATGCTCCTATGAATATTTGTGTACCAGTTTTGTATGAACATACATTTTCAGTTCTGTTAGGTATATATATACACCCAGGAGTGGAATTATTAGATTATGTGTTAACTCTGTATTTAACCTTAGAGGAACTGCCAGATTGTTTGTCAGAGTGGCTGTGCCGTGTTATATTCCCATTAGCAGTATATGAGGGTTCCAGTTTCTTCACATCCTCACCAACACTTATTAATTGTCTTTTTGATTGTAGCCATCCTAGTGAGTGTGAAATGGTATCTCATGGTGGTTTTGATTTACATTTCCCTGGTGGTTGATGGCATTGAGCATCTTTTCATAGTGGCGTTATTCATAATAGCCAAAAAGTGGAAACAATTCAAACATCCATCAACTGATGGATTTTTTAAATGTGATATATCCATATAATGGAATATTATTCAGTCATAAAAAGAACTTAAGTACTGATATATGCTACAACATGCATAAACTTTGAAAAGATTATGTTAAGTGAAAGAAGCCAGTCACAAAGGACCACATATTGTAGGATTCCGTTTATGTGAAATGTCCAGCGTAGGCAAATCCACAGGGACAGGAGGTGGATTAGTGATTCCTTAGGGTTGGAGGATGGGAGGAAATGGAGTGGACAGTTAAATGGTATGGGGTTTAATTTTGGGGTGATGAAAATGTTCTAAAATTGATTGTGGTGATGGTTGTAAAACTGAATATACTAAAAACCACTGAATTGTGCATTTTAAATGAGTGAATTGTATGTTGCTGTAAAAAAAAAGTTAAAGATGAAAGTGTGAACTTGTATAGTTTTAATTTAAGAAATATTTTCAATTTTCTTAGATAAAAGTAAGTTCAGGTCATTTCCTTTTTAATTGCAGTAACATTATTAATCCTTCCTCCCTTCCTACCCTCACCCCTTTAAACATCTTTTAGGTTTGCCCTTGTTGGCGTTGGATCTGAAGCATCCTCAAAAAAGTTGATGGATCTGTTGCCTAAAAGAGAACTTCATGGTCAGAATCCTGTTGTAACTCCATGCAATAAACAGTTCCTGAGTCAATTTGAAATGCAGTCCAGGAAAAGTAAGCAATCCTTCAGAGGCTTTTATTAAAAGATGTGCATTTAATCAATGTTGCTAGCATTTGTTAGATGTTATACTAGAGAAGTCATCTTAATATTTAGTTCATTAGAGAATCCATTTTAAAAAGTCCGTGCTTTGAATTTGATTTAATTACTGGTTTTGACTGTGGTCCCATGTACTGCAAATATACTCCATTTTTCTCTAGATGTCACAGACCAATATTATTCAACAGTATACAAGTTTTATAGCCCTGCTGTCCTTGTCCTGTCATTCCCATCTTAGAGAAAGGAAGAAACTGCCTTCTAACCCTTAGATTGAAGGAAAGTTATGTGGGTGTGTGTGATGGATGGTGGGGGAGAAACCACTGATAACCAGAAAATACTCGTTGGCTTTGTGCTGAACACGAAGACCTTTCACCCGTTGGTAAAGTGGATGTGGAGAAGATGTGCCATTACACACTTAGGAATGTTACCACTTAGAGATAAGATGGATGATCACGTAATTAACAGAAATTCACGTGATTGTTTTTCTTTTAATGTTTTAGCCCTTAAGATTTAACTGAAGAGTATGCTACAGAGTTTAAATGGTCTATACTTAATGAAATTCAGATTTCTGTTGGAGAGTTTTGGTCTTGGTTGCTGCAGAGTACTGGTGTTTTGAAAGTAACTCATATTTCCTCATTGGAAGTACATTTGAGCCTGGATGTTTTGAGACTTCAAAAGAACTTAAATAGATGTGAATGTTTTCCTAACCAGTGTTTCTCATGTAGTTTGGACAGGCCCAAGGCATCTGCAAGTTAGTGTGTAGTGTAAGTGAACTTTGAAATAGAGTTGTTTTTACTAAGAGTGGTTACATTTCAGAGAACTATGTTAATCAGTGCTATTTATGAGTATTTGGATATTTGCAGCTACACAATCAGGACAAATGTCTGGGGAAGGTAAAGCTGGTCCTCCAGGAGGCAGTTCACGCGCAGCATTTCCACAAGGTGGTAGAGGACGGGGCCGTTTTCCAGGGGCTGTTCCCGGTGGGGACAGATTTCCTGGGCCAGCAGGACCAGGAGGGCCACCCCCACCTTTTCCAGGTAAAATTTTTCTTAAATTACCATGGATAAAATGTCTACCTAATACCTCTTTTCCTTTTCTCTCTTTTTCAAGTAATGCATTATTAATGTGACTTACTCTCCTTGTTATGCTATTTTTGGAATCCAGGAAATTTGATCAAGCATCTTGTTAAAGGAACTCGGCCTTTGTTCCTGGAAACTAGGATTCCATGGCATATGGGGCACAGCATAGAGGAAATACCCATTTTTGGCCTAAAAGGTCTTTATTTTTCTCCAAACTTGCTTGACTTATATATAGAATATTTACATCCGTCTTATTTTCTTACCTCTTAAAAAATCCTTTCAAGACCATTTTTCCTTGTTTCACTTTCTAGCTTGGCATCAGAGTAGACTATAAGGTGGGTGATCTCACTGTGAGAAGTGTGTGTATGCTGAAAGATGGAAACTATCTCTAAGTGTTGTAATCTTTATTAAAGTTTTTGTTGTAATAATTTTTCTTAAGCATAAATTGAGGTAGTTAAATTTGTAAGGATAGACATGACGTTTGCAGTTGTTAGTGTAGCATTTACCATATCGGTTTCATTTAAAGAGAAAGGATGTTGGTCTATGAGTTATGCTTTAAAAGTATAATCTTGGCATAAAGGTTAAAATACCTCATTGAAGTGTTTTTTTTCTCTCTCTCTCTCCTTTATTCTATAGCTGGACAGACTCCACCACGTCCACCCCTAGGTCCTCCAGGCCCGCCTGGTCCACCAGGTCCTCCACCTCCTGGTCAGGTTCTGCCTCCTCCTTTAGCTGGGCCTCCTAATCGAGGAGATCGCCCTCCACCACCAGTTCTTTTTCCTGGACAGCCTTTTGGGCAGCCTCCATTGGGTCCGCTTCCTCCTGGTCCTCCACCTCCAGTTCCAGGCTACGGCCCCCCTCCTGGTCCACCACCTCCACAACAGGGACCACCTCCACCTCCAGGCCCCTTTCCACCTCGCCCACCTGGCCCTCTTGGGCCACCCCTTACACTTGCTCCTCCTCCGCATCTTCCTGGACCACCTCCAGGTGCTCCACCACCAGCTCCACATGTGAACCCGGCTTTCTTTCCTCCACCAACTAACAGCGGCATGCCTACATCAGATAGCCGGGGTCCACCACCAACAGATCCGTATGGCCGACCTCCGCCGTATGATAGGGGTGACTATGGGCCTCCTGGAAGGTAAGTTAGCATGTGTCTATGAAAGTAAACTTGGTGTATTTGATCAATAAAAGATATTCTGTGCTCCATCGCTGAGGTTTTTTTTTTTTTAATTATGTTCTTTTCCTCCAATATTTAATTTTCTGTGTTGCTTTCTCTTGTTAGAAGAGGAAGTTATGATATGGTGAAAACTTACTGAACAGGGTTGGGAATAATCCAGCTCTGTTACTTATGTGGCCATGTGATTTAGGGCAAGTCACTAAATCCTGGGATTCGTTTCCATCGGTTTTTAAATTAAAAGAGGTTAATAAAGATAGTTTAAGTGAGCAGATGGGATACTGAAGCTAGTTTTAAGATTGTAAAGTCTGAATCTCATTTACCGTTGATGACACTACACAGAACCTTAAGGTCTTTTCATTGTTTTGGGTATTGGATCAGTTTGTTAAGTAGGTACTGTCAATGATCTCATGCTGATCAGGAGTCTTGAGTAGCAGCTTACTAACTTTTAATTAAAATGGGGACATTAAATAACTTACATGTGTTTTTGGGTAGATAAAGGCTTGTAAAACATAGACTATGGAAATTAAAATAATTTATGGTCATCCTTAGAGAAAAGCTGGGTGGAAACCACTGTTGAACTAAATGATCTCTTAGCCCCCTTTTGAAGTAATTTAAAAACAATCCAGGGGCCGGCCCCGTGTTGTAGTGGTTAAGTGCGCACGCTCCGCCGCTGGCTGCCCAGATTTGGATCCTGGGCGTGCACCGACGCACCACTTGTCAAGCCATGCTGTGGCGGCGTCCCATATAAAGTGGAGGAAGATGGGCACAGATGTTAGCTCAGGGCCAGTCTTTCTCAGCAAAAAGAGGAGGATTGGCATGGATGTTAGCTGAGGGCTGATCTTCCTCACACAAAAAAAAGATCCATACCCAAATCATAATTTGGATAGCTATGTTTATAATCTTTAAGAACTGTTTGAATTTGTACCTTTCAATTTTTGAGTTTATCATTTGATTTTGTATTCTATAACTATCACTATTAAACTACTTTATATTTCAGTTTGTCTGATAAGGTCCTGCAGGAATGAATATGAGCATCTGCCTAATTCCGTACAATTACACAGGCCACGGCAGTAAATTTGATGTTGTAAACAAAGTTTATTAGCAGTTATCTATCCATAGAAGTTGCATCTTTTTGACTGCCAATGCTTTGTTTTCTTTAGAAAAATATTATAACTGCCAAGCTAGTATAACTTTTCTTCTGTTGATTTTAATTCCAGTGAGCAACTACATACCAGGTGTTCACCCTCAGTGTGTAGGAGTGGGTTAGGTGACTTGGTTTGACAGTTTAAAATTTGAGTCTCATATCCTTTTCCTAACATACTAGAATTTCTACAGTATCAGATTTTCAAGAATTTGGGGGAGCAGTTTATTATTGACTAGTTTTTTATTGAAAATTGAAGAAAACATTATCTTACTTGGGATTTTTTTTTTTAGGGAGGTAGGGTGGGCACAAGTCACAGCATTTAGTTGAAATCATGCATGAATTTTGAACAACTTGTAGTTTGGTCAGGATGTTTATAAAGTTTTGGGAATAACAGTAATACCGTATAAGCATGCAAATGGTTAGATTAGCACCTTATAAGCACGCAAATGGTTAGATTAGCTGTTTCCTCATTTCAGTGGAATGAACTGCTACTGCTTGCCTCAAGTCAGTGTCCTACTTAGTAATGAGTAACTAAGATGGCAAAAAGAAGTTGACCTTTTCCTGTACTGTACACTTAATTTTTAAAGTTGTCAAGCAGCTTTAGAAAATCTTGGCATTTTATTAATTTTTTTCAACAAATATTTACACTTAATGAGTACCTTTTGTCATACATTATGTTACATATATTCATCAGAACAATTATCTGTTTTTGTATGACTCTGAAAAATATTACATTGTAGATATGTAAGTATCTCATTTCTGGCCTCCAGAAAGACAAGGTTTATGAGTTGCTTCTTTATTTCAGCTGAAAGATAATGGTGTAAGAGAATTTTGCTTAGACTTACTGTCTGTAGGAGAAATAGCATGCTGTGATCTGGAAAAGTAACTACTAGCCCTAGGGCACTTGTCAAAAGCAACTAGTATGAATTGCTTATGCTGTTAGGACTAAGAAAATCTGTTGTGTACCATTTAAGGTTTATTTTGATTTTATAGGGAAATGGATACTGCAAGAACACCATTGAGTGAAGCTGAGTTTGAAGAAATCATGAATAGAAATAGGGCAATCTCAAGTAGTGCTATTTCAAGAGCTGTGTCGGATGCCAGCGCTGGTTTGTATATTTCTTCCTTTGAGTATTTTTCATTTATGTTATTAAGAATGACCTAAAACTTTAAGTACAATCTTGAAGAAGGGTCATTTACATGTAATAGTTATTTTTATATTTCCAAATCATCACCTATACTTTATTTGAAAGGCCTCGAAGGAAGCTGTATGTCAGAGTGTAGTGGAAGGACCCTTAATTAAATTTTTATGTATAAATTCAAATCTTAGCCCTGACATTGAATGGCTCAGGGGCCATAAGGCAGCTCATTTATTCTCATATTTAAAAATGATAACCTGCCTCACACAGCTGTAATAATAATAATAAATTGTGCTGATTTCATGCACGTAAAAGCCTTTTCCAAATGGTGAAACAATAAAAAAAATTAAGACATCTTCTGTAGTCATTTGAAAGTGCACTCCTGTTGTAAAATGCGTTATCACTCTCACCACAAGTGGTTTGGTGGTATTTGAAAACGAAATTTGACTTCAGCCCCTCTCCTTTGCTCGTAGGTGATTATGGGAGTGCTATTGAGACATTGGTGACTGCGATTTCTTTAATTAAACAATCCAAAGTATCTGCTGATGATCGTTGCAAAGTTCTTATTAGCTCTTTGCAGGATTGCCTTCACGGAATTGAATCCAAGTCTTACGGGTCTGGATCAAGGTAAAACTTTCCTGTCTCATGTCTATTTAAAACCGCTACTTTACAAATAGGAAAAATTTTGTGCTTGGGACTTTAAAATAGGACTTTGATTTTACTTACTACTGTTTACTCAACAACTAGAGTGATTTTTTTTAACTCTAAATCAAATGTTAGGTGTTTGCTTAAAACCCTTCAAAGGCTTCCATCTCCTCTTAGAATAAGACTATGCACCTTGGGGCGCTGTGTGCTGTGGTCCCTGCCTCTCGCTTCAGCCCCGTCGGGCCTCGCCCCTTGCTTCCTGCTCTCCAGCCATCCTGGTCTCCCTTCTCGTCGTCCTGACACATCAAGGACTTGACCACCTCGCTGTCTTTGTACTTCATGAAGCTTCTGCTGGAGCCCTTTTCCCTGGCTCTTCACATAGTTGGCTCCTTATCCTTCATGCCTCAGCTCAGTCTAACTTCCTAGGAGGGGTCTTCTCCCCAGTTATTCTCTCATGTTGTTCTGTTTATTTTTTTCACAGCACTTACCTTAATCTCTTCTTATTTATTATTAATGCAATTTTCTCTTCGCTAGAACACATGTTGAAAGATGGAAGAGGCCTTACCTGTTCTGTTGACTATAATGTTTAGTGACTAAGCAGTGCTTGGTACTGAATGGGTGCCAAATAAATATTTCTTGAACAAAGGAGTTAATGAATGAATGAATGAATGATCTATTCTTAGCTTTTTAATTAGGTAATTCCTTTTTTTAGCATTACTGCTAACCTTGAAATTTTACATATTTTTGAAAGGTAGATCTTTAATCTTTCCATGATAGTGTTAGATATGTCTTTAGTGATTTTATCTGGTGGTAGAGTCTTCTTCATTAAGTTAAGGAAAAAGAGCTTGTCTTTGTCGTGGTCTCCAACTTTATTGCCTTTTTGACCCAGTGTAAGGATCTTTATATCTGAACAAGTTTGTCATAGCTAAAGACCAAATCTTATATAGTCGTCTTTTTAACTTTTTAAGTCCAAAGTAAGAGCTCCTGCCTTGGTCAAGGAGCTTAACACCTAATAATATTTGCTGAGTCTACCTGTCTGGTGCAAAAATACAAAATAAATATTTAATTATTTCCTTATCGTGAATTTCAGAATTTAGAGCAACAGAATTTCTAAAAGTATTTTAGGCAGTATGCTTTCATTAAATTACCTGGGGTTTTTTTTGGAGAAAAGAAAGCTCATAAAACATTTATCATTATTAAATAACAATGTGAATAGTATCCCCACCTTTTCTAGTGGTCGTAATTACTAGATTTTTCCTCTGCTTCCCTCCATGCCCCTAACAAACATATATATATATAATTAGAAAGTTTCTTAGTGGAGTAGCACTCATGATGAACCATATTTTGGTTAGTTATAAATGTATTTTATTTTATATATTTTTTTTTTGTGTGAGGAAGATCAGCCCTGAGCTAACATCCATGCCAATCCTCCTCTCTTTTTTTTTGCTGAGGAAGACTGACCCTGGGCTAACATCTGTGCCCACCTTCCTCTACTTTTTTATATGGGACGCTGCCACAGCATGGCCTGACAAGTGGTGCATCAGTGCGCGCCCGGGATACGAACCCAGGCCCCCAGCAGCAGAGCACGTGCACCTAACTGCTACGCCACGGGGCAGGCCCCTGGTTAGTTATAAATGTAAAATTGGTGCTTATATATAGGTTTAGGTAACCTGTGTTAATGGGTAGTAGTTTTTATGTATTTAAGTCCCATTGTATATTGAGTGATTTCATGAAATCTATATCTAAAAAACTACCTTCTCCCTTTTTTTTTTTTTGCTGAGTAAGATTTACCGTGAGCTAACATCTGTGCCAGTCTTCCTCTATTTTGTGTGTGGGTTGCCACCACGCCGTGGCCGCCAAGTGGTGTAGGTCCGTGCCCCGGCTCTGAACCCACGAATGCTGTCTGCCAAAGTGTAGCACGCTGAGCTTAACCAACAGGCCACAGAGCCTGCCCCCTATGTTCTTTAGCTTGAAACACAAGTCCTTTGAACTTTTCTCTCCTTTATCTTGCTATTTTTCATTCTGTAAATACCACATGTCTGTTTTAGGCTGCTAGTTATAGTAGATGTAATGATGTATTGCCCTGGTGTGTCTGGTTCCCAATTTTTGGGTGAATATTTTAAAAAATGAAACTTTGGGCCGGCCCCGTGGCTTAGCGGTTAAGTGCGCATGCTCTGCTGCTGGCAGCCCGGGTTCGGATCCCAGGCGCGCACTGACGCACTGCTTCTCTGGCCATGCTGAGGCTGCGTCCCACATACAGCAACTAGAAGGATGTGCAGCGGTGACGTATAACTATCTACTGGGGCTTTGGGGGAAAAAAATAAATAAAATTAAAAAAAAAATTTTTTTAAAATGAAACTTTTATGGGGCCAGCCCAGTGGCACAGCGGTTAAGTTCACACGCTCCGCTTCCACGGCCCGGGGTTTGCAGGTTTGGATCCCGGGCGCGGACCTACACACCGCTTGTCAAGCCATGCTGTGGTGGCATCCCACATATAAAATAGAGGAAGATTGACACAGATGTTAGCTCAGGGACAATCTTTCTCAAGCAAAAAGAGGAAGATTGGCAACAGATATTAGCTCGAGGCCAGTCTTCCTCACCCAAAAAAAAAAGTTTCTAGTTCATGCTTGAAGGTGAGTTGGTAAATTGTTATTGGCATTTCATGGTATTGTAAGTTTGAACTAGATTTATGAAGAATTTTTTGCTTTCTTAGGTATTTTTAAACACCAAAATATTTAATATCTTTTTAAGCTGTCCAGTTACGGAGAGCATTAATCCAGTAATTTCTTTTAGAAGACGTGAACGATCAAGAGAAAGGGACCATAGTAGATCACGAGAAAAGAGTCGGCGTCATAAATCTCGTAGTAGAGATCGTCATGACGATTATTATAGAGAGAGAAGCAGAGAACGAGAGAGACACCGGGACCGGGATCGTGACCGAGACCGAGAGCGTGACCGAGAGCGAGAGTATCGTCATCGCTAGGAGGTGGGTATTCCTTGTTCCTGTTGTATTAACGTGTGTATTATAAACAGGAATTATAACTCTGAGGCTATTGTTTATACAGTATATACCTACATTTTAAATGGTCCAACTACTTGTTCTGAGTTTAATCTTCTGGAAACATCTGAGACTAATGACAGGTAAGTAATGACAGGTAAAAAGTTTGATCTCTTAGCCTCAAAATTGTATTGCTGAGTTATATATAACTTTTAGGTTTCACGTTGTTAGTGGTCTTAGGAAGGCAAGAAAATATTCAAGAGGACTCATTGTTTACTTCTAAAATCTAAAAACTGGAATTCTCTTAATTACATACATAGTTTGCATGCAATTTAAAATATAAAATACAGGGAGTTAATTCATATATATATATGTACATATATATGTATAATGTGCTTGGACTTTTAAAAATAAATTTAGTTTCTCTCCTGAACTAACTACATTTATCCCTGAACTTTTAAAGGAAATCTAACACTATGATAGTTTATAATACAGGAGGATGGTTTCTCAGCATTGAGAGAGCTTTTCTACTTAAATAAAACCACTTTTTAGAAATGACACTTGTTCTGGCATCTGGTTGTTTTTAAAAGAAAAGAAACAGTATCCTTTAATTTGCAAAGAAAATATGAAACTTAATCAAAATGGGATCAGGGTAGTCCATATCTAAGAATTTTAAATTGTATCAAACCATACATCCCAGGTTAGAATAACCTTGAAATAATTTTCTTTGGTGTTTCATTCATAAACCATAATCATTGTGTCTTTTTTTCTGTATTTTAAAACTATTTCTTGTGTACATTTTTCATAGAGTGGGAGGGATTATCTGTTTATACTTCATTTCCACGTGTAATCTTATTTTTATATTTGTGAACAGCATTTATTCATGTGAAAGGTTGGGGGAGGGCACTGTAAGGCTTGTGCATGTGATACAAAGGTTATTCTGTAAACAGATATTTTTTCTTTATATGTTTGTGGCATATCCAAATTAAATTAGGCTAAAACAAACCCCTTTTATAGGTAACTACTCTTCACCTGATTGTCCTTCATAATCATGGGAAATATTGAAAATTCAGTCATGGTAATTGTTAGTATTTAAATTGTTGGCAAAATCAAAGACTTTATCAAGTGTATATAATTCTGTGACAGAATAGCAGTCTCTTTATAATAGATATATTTTATCAAATGAGATTCCTTTTGAATACTCTTTAGAAAAGAAGCATGTAAGTCTTATTTTTATGGTACACAAATAAGCTATTACAGTTTAAAGAGCTTTTTGAAGTGAAAAGGCCAGTTTTAATAAATTTCCTTGCATTTTGAATATGCATCTTGAATATTTATCAAAACTTTAATTTTAAAATAGTTCTCCATGTATTGTATTAGAGAACTTAATATAAATGATTCTCAAAACATTTCTTTAATGTAAGGCAAAACATCTTTCACTTTTAAAACTAAACTTATGGAAATTGATGCTGTTTCTAGATGTAATAATTGAATGTTGTATTATGTAAATCTAAACACTAAATTTTAAAAATGTAGCTTCTTTTCCCCCTGGGTTGAATAGATCAGATCCCATCTAACGAAAAAATTCTCAGCGTCCATCAGTTGTTTATGGTGAATTGTGGCCAACTTACTGCTTGAAATGCATAACTATATCAGCCGTGTCATTTATAGTAATGTACAGGTCCTATGAGTTATGTTTTTAATTCGACTTGGTCAGTTATCAACAAGCTTCTAGTTACTGAAGGCATGGTAACAAAAACTTGCATACATTTTCAGTCATCTCCAAGGTTGGATGTGCCCATCAAGGGGCTTCTGAACCAGTTTATACCCAAAGTTAATAAGTTTTCCTTCTGGTTTCAGTTAAACTAGCGTAGTCAACCAAGTAAACTCCTTCTTGAAAAGTCCATTATTAATTTTAAATACTTTGAATTGACTAACATTACGTTTCAGTAGTGAGTACACCTAACTATCATGGCTTGAGTTTCATTACATTCAGATGTTAACTATGGATTCCTAACTTGCAGACTATTGTTGACATTTTCTCTTAATCACTGATGTGTACCATACCCAAATTCCCGTTTTGTTTGTACATTAATCAGAAATTGAGTTGTAATATTGTGATGTGCTTTCATCAAAGCAAAATTTTACGTAAGCGTTTCCAGTGCAAAAAATTCTGTTATCCTGGAATATTGTACCTTTGCTATACCAAACAGTATTTATTGTGGTTGTAGACATGAATAAAGGGATGGGGACTGGGAGTAAATATATTCAAGTTAAAAACTTTTTTAAACAAATATAAAACTATCTGCACATTTAATCACCATCATGATAAGGTCTGTTGACCTTTTTAGAAGTTTTAAAATGAGTCCTTTTAACCTTTCATGTAAATCTTAAATGGGCTAAAGGAAATAAGAGTGACTTGGAAGCTAAGGTGAATGTCAGTAAGTCTGTATACAAGTACAACAGTACTGTAATCGATTATTAAAGTGATGAATGGCTAAAAGGGCAAGTTCTTAATTTAACTGGAAACTTGATGTTGGCAAGCTGTTGATGTCTGTCCCATCTTAATTTTTTTGTGTTTGAACTGTTGGTAATGTTAATTGCATTCTCGCATTTAAAAAATGTATTAGTTTTTCTAAAAGCATTCAATATCTAAGTTTCAAATAGATAACATTTTATTGGGAATATCAGTATTGTAAATTTTCAGTATGTAAATACATTGTGCTTCATATTCTGTAATTTCTGCCTCTATTCTCAGACCACTCTGAGCAAAACAGAAGTAGTTTAGTATTTTAAGATTGTACACGTCTAGAAATAATTTTCCTTTCATAGTTCAGTTTTTTTTTTTAAGATTGTGTTCCTCTTATTGTTTGGAACAACTGTACTCAACAAATTTCTGTGAATAATTGAGTTTTTCTTTGTGTACTGAAGAGTAATGAAACCAAATTATTTTTTAAATACTCTCTGGTCATGCTTTTTCTCTCCCTGATATATGAGGTTTTACATATTCTCAAATCATTTTCCGTTTCTTTGATACAATTTTTAAGCATCATGTATGGGATATGGATTAAATAACTCTACACTTTCTTTTGTTGTGTGATTACTCTTCTGCCGTAATTACAATCTTAGATTTTGTTGTTATTGCACAAGATTTAGCGTGCTTTGCATTCTTTATTCAGTTTATAGCTTTTCATTAATTTGGGAAAAACAAAAACCAAAAGAATCAAAAGTTCTTTCTTGTATGTTAAGATGTTTTATCTCCTTAAGAGTTAGTGTTACTTTGAGGCTCATGTGAAAACTAAGTTCTCTTAACTGTCGGATGAATGATGTGGTGGTAATGAGATTTAAAAACTATTTATGCGTCTCTTAGGTCCCCTGCCTGATACTGTCTGGCCCTGTGTTTCCATGTGTCCTCACTGCTCTGCTTCCTTTTGACCTGCTAGCTCGCACTTCTTTTGCTCTAATTTTCCTTCTTTTAGTATTATTTGCAGAACCTATCTGACCACACAGCTGTCTTAACTGAAGTGACAGGAGGGTAGAAAGTAATCCTTCGAATGGATGGATAGTGTGTTTTTTTGCTCACTGTGGTTTAAGAATATGATTTTGTTTACAAATGATTAATGTTCCCTGTAAGAAAAACAAATTTCAGTGCCAAATGTGAGTCGCTTTGCTCTCTCACCTTCATCTCAGTGTGAAATTTACTACCATTGTTTTAGTTTGTAAATTAGATTGTTTTGAATAAACAATATTTTGAACGAATATTTAGTTAGCGTTGTTTAAAGAAAACCTAATGACCAAAAAAGGGCAAGAGTGCCATATATGCTATCCAAACTTAGTACTTTGCTTGCTTTCTGTGGTAGCATGTTTTAACTTGCACAGTGAATTCTAAATCACATAAACAGCTTATTTTGAAATGTCCATTATGTGAAATTTAGGGGGCAAAGCTGAGTTTTCTTTGACTGTGGTGAAATTTATTTCTACTATTTAGTGAACTGCCTAGAGTAACAATCAAGTATGTGTTTTATAGTATAATAAAAGGCTTTAGTTCAAATGAGGTAAGTACTATCTCCAGAGGCAGAAAGATGAAGATATGAAATGTTTTAGTAGTAAGGAAATTTTTTGTAAACATCTACAATAAACAGAATTTTGTGTAATATGTTCTAGTCAACGCAAGAAGGAATTTTCATTTTAAAAATAGTTAAATTATATTTAGATACTTGTATTTCTTTTGCCCAACCCATCTCCATTCCTCTCATTAAGGAGAGGTTTTCAGATAAAAGTGAATATTATTTCACTGAGTTAATAATAGTACGTCTCTAAAATTATCTTAGAATCCTTTTAATTCAATATATTGTGAAAACCTATAGAAGAGCCATATCAAATGTTTGAATCTTTTACTTGAAAGATGAATTTGCCATGAATTTAGAAACACTATGCTAACAGATTTGCTTAGATAAGTTTCTTAAAGAAACACTCATAATTTGAGTTGTTAGTATTGGCTTGATCTTATCACAAAATGCAAGTGTTCCTCTGTGTTATAATTTTACTTAGTGCTCACTTTACAGACTTCATGAAAGAGCTGTAGATTGCATTTGTCTTAGTTTTTTAACTGTTTACATAGATCTTCCTTTTATAGCTGATAGCTTAAAGCAAGTAATTGTGTGGCTTTGACAAAAACAGATTTGACCAAATGGTATTTTGAAAACATGAGCATTGAATGTGTTTGTCACTTTTAAGCTTCTTTTTGATATCTTTGTTTATGTAGATGTCTACTTAGAAATTTGAGACTATAATATGAAATTGGATTATTGGAAATGGGTTGTATTGCCTTCAGATTTGCTTCCGTTTGAGATTGTAAAATTTTTATTTCCAAATGGATAAATGTAAAGTATTTAGAAACAGAAGTTAAAACTGTCAGACTATCCCCCAGATCTTATGTCTGTATGGTGAAAATGAGAGACTTATTAATAGTAAAGATCTATCTATAAAATATAATCAAGCACAAGATGAGTTCCCCCGCCCTGGGTGAAGATGTGTGTTGTAATTTCACAAACAGGGCTCTCTACATAAAAAGTAGTGACATTCTCCATTGGAGTGATGAAAGATATAAAGTTGCAGTGTATGCCATATGTTTTTTGGAAGGGTTGGGTATTTTTGTTTTTCTTACTGTGACTGTAAATAACTTTCCCTCTGTAATGACCCAATGTCTCTTTTTTATCCCTCCCAGCACAACAGAAAAATTAGGGAGCCAGCATTCTTTTGCAATAAGAATTTTGAATTTCCCAGTAATGTGTTTTTTAAGATTAGAACATATTCCTTGTTCCTCTTTCTGTAGTACTTTGACATGAGTTTTTAAAAGTGCATTGCAAATAATAAAAATAAAACATGGAAGCTACCTTTCTAGATTTTTTCGATGAAATAATTCCACCAAAAGCTTCATCAGCATAAGATAAAAGTACAGTAAAAGGTGACATTAGAAATGGCTTAAGTAGCTCTTTGAAAAATAAGGAAAAATAGAAACTATTTAAGAGAGAAAGTCCAGGATTATAACATCTGTTTTTTCCTTTTGCAGTTGTAAAATTTAGGTTTTTACTGCCAGGCAGTGTGTACCAATGCTCTTAAGATGTTTACAGCCTAGTTGGGGAAGAAAGGACATAAAAGATAACAATTATAGTTCTGACAGAATATTAATTACTCCTAGTTATAGAGCAAAAAGTATTTTTTAATTACTTTTATGGCAAAATATACCTAAATATTGTCCCATTTTGCCTCTTACTACATCATCTTAGTGAAATACTCTCTTGGCATTTATATTTTAAATATCTGGTGTTTCAGTGATTACTTATATCTGAGTTAATTGAATGTTTCTTTTGTGAACCTCTCCCTGAAGTATGCATATTGTTGTATTCTTGAAATTTTAGTTTATCCAATTTATCGCTTTTTTTTTCTTTATGTGAGTTTTCAATGAAATTTATCATTGTAGATTCCTATTTAGCTTGGTTTCGGTTAGTTTTATATACTGCATTAGACATTTCAGTATAGGTGGAATAGAGTGCAAGTAAAGTAAATGTGTTAAATTTGTATTATGTCTAAAGATTTGTACGTGGATGTCATTATATTTATTTAAATGTGCATACTGAGCTATATATCTACAAATTTTATTTATAAATTTTGTAACATGAAGCACCGTTTGATTTATAACATTTGCAGAAGTTCCTGTATGCTGTCAAATAAATACAACTAATTTGTAAAATAATTTATTGCATTTTATGTTCAGTTTGCATTTGTTAATGAGTTACATAGAATTGATATATGGGTGAATGAAAAATATTTACATTAAAATCATCGAAACATTTTTTCATTTATTTTTGTAGTATACATACTTTAGAAAATGACTTATAAATGTTTCCATCATCACAGAAACACTAGCTGCTATTTTCATTTCTGTTCCAGTTACTAAATTTATAAGGCAATAATATTAAGAAGAATGAAACCAGAATGTCTCAGTTTTAATCATCACATAAATTGGGAGCATTTCTCCACCACAAAGGCAGCTACTGTTTCAGTTAATTCTTATTTTGTGTTAGAGTACGTACAGTGACGTAGATGCACGACTTGTGTATGTATAGTTAAGCCAGCGTTTTTCTGTCTGTTATGGGGAATAGCAAAATCTACATCACAAATTTTGACACATTACAGCTGAAGGAAGAGGAACACCTTCCAAGACAAAACAGTCTTCATGGGGGAAAATGACGCTTGTCCAGCAGTTTGCTTCTTGTGATTGAACTGAACCCGTAAGGATTCACGGATAAAATGAACAGGAATAGATCTGAATAAAGCAAATCTGCATAAATGGTAACCAGTAGCTCTTTTTTTTTTATGTTGCTTAACTGTTTTATTTGAAAGAAACCTGTGTGATTTAAAAAGTTATAGCTTTTGCAACTTTATTACTGGTTATATACATTTGGCCATTATAATGTGCAAGCAATTGGAAAAAAGTCAAGTAAATGCTTGTTTTTATAGTAGTTTGTTCTTGTTAAAAATGTTCATATGATAATGTCTGTAAACAGCACCACTTTGATTATAATAGATGTAGTGTTGTAATAAACTGTTTAATGGGGCTGATGTGTAAAGCTGTTCAAGTTATTTGATGTTTACACCTCAGGGAAAGTGTTGTGTTCAGCAATATCTAAAGATGATGTTACTATGACATTTATACTGTCCTTTCAAAAAGCATTGCAATAGCGGTTTTGGATATGCATCAATCTAATCTTGCGTTCAGTGAATTAAAAATACTAATTAAGTGTTTCTTGCCCTTGATTTTGATATTAGAATAGGTGATTACATGGATACTTAAATATTTCTATATTCTGCTTTTCTAGCTGTTTTTACCTAGTTAGCTTGTGATTTTGCTGAATGGTATGTAAACTTGTAAAAACTGAAGTTTCACAGACATAGCAATCCAGTCAATGTCTTAGGGGTCAAAAAAAATGTGGTTTTAACATTTTAGAAGAAAACCCGTACATTATTTGCTACAGTAATGCAGCTTAATTACAACACAGATGTACTGAAATGCTTAATTGTAAACTGCTAGCATTGAAGAAATACTTTGACGGTTCTGATTTGATGCGGCAGTTATTTGCTGTTTTATATTGATAATGCTTATGGTTTGTTTTGAAGCCATGGGCAGTGTAAATACAGCCGTGCAGCAGACAAATGTGAGTAAAGAGAGCCTTAGTTTTATTTTCCGGTTACTGTCGATTTCTGAAGGGTGTAATGTTTATTAACATCAGGTTGTATCCTCCTGTGTGTGTAATGGGAGAGTATGGGTGTACCCTATCTCCGCAGTTTAAGGAATTCTATATATATTCATGCAACCCATTGATTTGTGCTGGAGTTATTTACTTAATCAAAGATTCTTTCAAAGCTGCCTTGCATACAGGCCCACATTGAAAGCACCTGGCTAGCACGTGTTTTTAATTGCAAAATTAGTAGAAGCAGAGTGTCAACTTGATTAGACGTTTTCATAGGAAGGTCATTCTGAATCACTACTTCAGAAATTTGAGTTCAAATCCTTAAGCAAATTAATTTGTTTTTAATATCTGATTATCTTTGAGAGATCTTCTGATAATACACATTGGTTTTTAAAAAGTATAGCCAAATTTTAGGACAATGCTTAACGTGTTTAGGGACCCTAGATATTGTGTCACGTGCAACTGTAAACGCCCTCCGAGATTTCCACTCCAGCTCTGCACTTCTTTTTTGTCTGTTCTCACCCTAGTTCTTACAAATTTAGCTGTTTCAGATTATTCATATTATTGCCAGTTTTATTTTAAAACATTTCGTTATTAGAGTATTTGTGCATGGGCTCGTTGGTGTTAATCAGACTGTTTGCTCTCAGAAATTTCAGTGTTCTATCTTGTTGAAAATGCAGTTGCCTTTTTAACATCTTTGAGAGTTGTATCAGAATTGATTTTCTTGTTTTGTATATAGGTCTTGTTAGTTTTTGTCATTTCTTAGCTCTTTTATATTTTAATTGCAATGCCCTAATGCGAAGAAGTATAGACATAAATTAATAATATTCCAAGGGAATTAGTTAATAGTAAGCTTAAAAGGTAAGTAAATGTCCATGAGAATAAAATTTTCTCTGAACAATTTTAAAATGGAATCATAAAAATCTAACTGCGCTTGAACTGGAAATTTTGTACTAATTAAATCCTTCATTTACCTATTCATTTTTTATCAGTGGAACCTTTAATTGTTCATTGTCTGTCATTCTCCTCCCTGCTTGGCTGATCTCATTATGTGACTTGTTGCAGACAATGTGAATGTGCTAGAATTGTTGGCTTCTAGTCCGGTGTTTTTAAATGTTGTCAGAAGGTAACTTTTTGGTTTGACCAATTAATTTTTGCAAAGTCTTACTCTACCTAACACGTGAATGTATAGCAGTAAAGGTGAAAATTACAAAGCTTGTTTAATTTTTCATATCCCTTCTGTTGTTTATGGCTGATGTTATTTGAAAACTTTTTTTCTTTTTTTTCAATGTTTAAAAACAATCCAAAGAGATAAATCTTTACGTAGACACCAAAAAAAAAAAAAGGAGAGAGTCCCAGAAACCTTCTCTTTTCTTCTTAATAATAATCGTAGTGAATATGAAAACAAACTTGAGTTTTAATTTTAAACCATAGCACTTATTAGTGCTGTGCAGTCACATTCCTTTCAACCAGTCAAGTTATGAATGAGGGAGACAGCACCGGAATGGAATTGCTTCTGCAGCAACACTTTGAATTGAATGTGATGCTTTTAGTTAAAGAACGTGTTGTGGAAAGGATATTCCATTGTAAATTTGGAAGGGTTTATTTTGTCAATTTGCATAAGCAAGATTTGGAGTAAGTTGCAGTGGCTATTGATGATAGTTTAGTCCATTTAATGGGCCCCTTATGTAGAATATTCTTAAGCAGTTAACTACAATTTGGAGTTTACAAATAACTTATGGATTGTAGCTTAAGGTATTGTGTTCATTTAATTCTCCTGTGGAGAATATTGCTTTGTTTTTTACTAGTTTAAAGTCAGTTCTTAAAATAAACGTGGAGGTTTTAATGAACGTTATAACGTTTTATAGTGAAAGGGGAAAATTGGTGGAAGGATAAAAACTTTCTCTTTTCCTTATGTATTTCAATGTGCCGATCACCTAAATACATACTGGTTTATAAATGAGATGCTACTACAAGACTTTGTTTAGTGTTCTCGACACCTGAATGATCATTACATTTTCTGTGTCTTGTAAGATGGCTCCATTTTTGTGTTTTAAGCTTCAGCTTGCTATTTTAAGAGGAAGTTCATGATCTAATTCTTTACTGAGAATACGATATTGAGATTCTTGCTGTTTTACAGACAACTGCCTTTTAAATTTTATTCATTAAGTTCATTTGCATCCCATAGCTGCCTGTAAACGTTTCCTGGACTTGTATGTACTTTTATGCATGCTTATCCATTGTACATATTAGACATTTTTGTGCAAAAAATGTATTAAGTGGGATTTTTGTAGCAAAGCATTCTATTTTTCTGTTCTTACAATGTGTGTTTTTTGGTTTTTTTGGTTTGTTTTTTTACATTAACCTTCAGTTTAAACACTGGTGTATTTTATTTTTTAGCAACTTGACTCTTAGAAGCCTTAGACTAATTTTTTAATAACATTCAACCAAAAATTATAAATTTATTAAGATGTGGCCTTAACACATAGCATTCCTTGTGGTCGTAATGTGAGATTTTTAATGTAGAGAAGTCAAGATTCAGGATTAAAGTTTCATTGTAAGTTGAACTAGAAAATGTATTAAAATGTCTAGGCTTCTGGGAGGAAGTTCTTTAGCTCTTCTTTCTTGACATTAGAAAGAAGCAATATGAATTTTTTGAATATTCAGAATATTCAGGCAGTTGTGTCCTGTTCAGATGATTTAGGTTTGTCTTAACCAATGTTTCTTTAAAATTTCAGGTTGTTGGCATTCACTCTGAGTATGCGGCTGTACTGTGGTTTTTGTATGGGACGTATAAACACTTGGTTAGGTGTAGACAGATTTTAATGTTTTGAAGACTTCCTGCTATATTAATTAACATATTGTTATGGGAGTCTTTTAAAATATTAGGTAAAATTTAATTGAAGTCACACAAATCTTGAAATGGTATCTGTGGATAATAAATGCTACAGAGAGTTTTTCACGTGAGAGTATCCTAAAACCCTGCCATAGGTGTAAATGTTTTACATTAATTTCATAGTTGGACAGACCCTGCGTTTAGTTTTGAAGATGTGTTCTTTTTGTCGCACTGTTACTGCATAACACTTCTCAGCATTCTGTAAGTTAAATTATTTTAAAATACAGTGGTGAATTCATGTTTATTTTTTTACTTTGAAAATTGTAGTACTCAGGTGGTATTTAATGGGAAAGGATCCTTTGGGGTAAATCGTAATGTATTCTAAGGAATGCATCTATAACATTGATGACTTTAGCCTTAAGAAAAGGTCTATTCTTATTATTCCTTCTTCCTCTTCATCCATGGTATATTCACAAAGCAGTTTACAACCTTGTACAGCCTTACAGAGTTGTTTTACAATTTTTAATGGAAAGCCCTTAACAAAAAAATTGTATCATATTACTAGTATCCATGAATTACTGAATCACGGTTTGTAAATAATTTGTCTAATACCAGAAGGCCAAAGAAAGTCTTAAAATTTTAGCTATTGACTCTGTGGCGACTTCACAATAAGATTTCTGTGCAAAAGGTAAGGTGATACTTGATCAGACATCTTTTTGGTGTCCGTGAGAACTAGACTTCCATATTAGCTTCTATTAAAAAGCTCATTCCATTTTATTAAAATGTTTGTAATTGCAGTTTTGTGTTTAATGTTTACTTTCTGTCTTTTCTTTCTTCAGCATTTAGGTGACTGTTCAGCAGTTTGCTCTATGGCCATTGTTGGCCTTAAACTGCACTAGTAACAAGCATGGTATTTATCTTGTATTGAAAATAAAACAGTTTTGATAGTACTTTGCAGTTTGTCCTTTTTGTTTGGTTTCAGTTTGTTAACTATTGTGCATGGTTTGAGTAATTCATATCTTGGCAATATGCAGTGTACCAGAAATTGAACTGTTGTCTGTATTTTATCTTTAAGCCAGTCTCTGAGATAGTGGTTATTTTCTTCTGTATTGATATTTTGATGATCTTTAAAGCAGATGATGTGTGGCTAAAATTAGGATTTAGAAACCTAAAAGATTTCTGGGTTGTTTTATGCTTAAATCTAAGATTCAGAAAACATTTGTCTAGTTTTAAGGAATAATTAACTTTACTAGACTTTAATCAAGTAAAAATATTGCAGCAAAAACATTTCATCGGCTAGCTTGGAGTACTTTTAAAACAGTAACAAATTGTGTTTTCATTAAGGATTTGTGAGCCAGATATTATATCAGGCCCCAGATTTCTCACCTGTATGTTTCAAAATATGTTGAAGGTAACAATTCTAAACAGCGGAAAGAACCATATGAGAAATAATAAGTTACCATTACTGGAATTTCTTTCCATGCCCCCGTTAAAATTGTGGTTCAGGTTCTGTTAGTTTCCCTATTACTCTTGGTTATATGTTTACATTTTAAAGAAGATTGCATTCATTGATCCTCACTTGCATTGAGATACTTGCAGAGAGTATTTGACTGAAAGAAAAGATTAGGAACATCTTTTAACCAGATGCCACACAAAGCTCCATAGGAGTCAGTCAAGCCTGCTTTAGTGAAAAAGGGGGCTTTTTTATAAAGGATTTGTAGATGGAATTTGCCCAGTCTTCAAGTTTTATTTCCTGACCGTTAACATGAAACAAGAAATGTTAATTAGAAATGGTTTCCATTACCATCTTGTGCTGCGTCTTTCTCCCTTGTCTATTTTACTGACAGAGTTCTTGGATTTTCATGTTAATGTCAGTTCCAATCAGCTGCTATCATCAGTGCCAGATAGGAAGATGTACATTCTTTACTTTTCAAAAACCTACATTCAGCTTGTAGGAAAACTTTAGAAAATAGAGTTTTACTTCCTTAATTATTACACTGAGACCTTAATGAAGAAACAAGGCCTAACTTGGTGAAGAGGGAAGGGAAGTCCCTTCTAGGCAAAGAGGTTTGCACAAAAGGCCTTTCGGCCGGAGGGAGTACAGTAGTAGGAATTAGAAGACTGCCAGTTTGGCTGAAGTAGGAATTGAGGGACATAGGTTATGTCTGGAGCTCAAGAATAGTAAAGTGCCAAGGCTGCAGGCCTTCTAAGTCATGTTCAGGATTGTCCCAAGAATGATGTGGGATCAGTGGAGTGTGTGAAGTGTCACAATTGGATTAACATGTCAGAAAGCTTGGCTGCAGATTAAATTGGGAAAAGAATAGATGAGGTAAACCAGTGAAACTTAACAGGAGTCTTCGCTGCAAGGAGATAGGATAATAGAGGTACAGAAAAGTTCATTTAGTGAAAGACTTAGGAGGCAAAATTGGTAATACTTGGTAGAAGTTTGAATATGAGAAGGATGACATCAGAGCTTGTGTAGTGGTATGCCCTCGTCTGGGATGGGAAACTTTGGAAAAAGATGTGCAGACACTGTGAATGTAGTGCCTTTGAGATCCAAGGGATAGCAAGTAGTCATGTAGCTGTATGGTTTTGGAGTTTAGAAGACTTGGGTTAAAGCCATAACTTTGTAGTAACAGATAAAATAGAGAAGAAACCATCTAAATATGGGGAGAATGCAGAGAGTGGGAAAAGGGGGAAAGGGAGGAGTCTGACACGCAACTTTCAGGTTTTTGGGAAACAAACTGATACTGAGATCAGTCGTATGAGAGGAAGTAGCTTTGGATTGTGAGAGAAACACTCCTTCAGGAGGGGACATGAATAGATAAAAATACATGGAAGTTTGTGGACTGTAGATATGTGGTAGAAATTTTAAGATTTAGTGACGTCTTTGAAATAGAAATTGAGGGCATTGTGCAGTGGGTCATGGCTTAAGTTTGGGAGAATGAACTGATGTTGGTGTATAGAAGGGTTGTCAGGATTTGGTTAGTCTAGCTGAGAAGTGGGCTCCATCTTTTGGTGGTAATCCACTTAGAAGCACATTTAGTCACCCAGGATGTCGGTAGTTGGATCCCCCCTGGGATGGGGGAAGGCATTAATAATTATCTTCATCATTTTTCAGTTTAATGGTTGTCAGCCCAGCTGCAGAATAGAATCACCCATGCCCCCCTTGTTTTTTGGGGGGGAAGTTTCCATCAGCATTTTTTAAAGTTGCTATTATATCAGTTATCTCAGTAGTTTCTTAAATCACCCTGTAAGATACATAGTGTTCTCTTTTTACAAGTGAGCCAATGGGCTCTTGAGGGGTTATGACGACCAGGATGGTGAGTCAAAATTAGAATGGGTTTATGATTCCAGATCAGCTTTTTTCATAATTTGCTGAATGTTATCAAACTAAGCCCCCACTGCGTCTAAGTGCTAACTTAAAAAGCTTTATCGATACCTGAACTGTGAGCATTTAGGAATGTGCTGTTACTTGATTATGTGTGTAGCAGGCCATAGCAACTTAGTGGTATCTTGCTATTCTCACTTTAACAAATGTCTCGTATCAGTAGTTGCCCAGGTTCTACCTGCACAATGACTGCGGATAGCTGTCTTGTCAGGTATGGTAGAAAATGGGTATAACATTCGTGGAAATGTTAACATCATGGAAAGTTTTGGCACTGACTCAGGAATTGGGTCCCACCCCAATGCCGTCTGAAAACTTGAGGACCACTGTTTACCACTTGAGCTCTTCTTTCCCCAAAACTGGTTGTCATTTTTCATTATTACTTCTTTCTTAAGCTTTCCCCAAGTTCGGGGGGGTGGCTTGGGGTGGGGAATCACCTTAAATGAAAACGCAAAATGAGAGACTCTTACTAAACACCTAACTTATCCCAAGAACCTGCTCAGCTTGTTAGAAAGTGATTTGCCCAACCTGAAAACGGGAGCTAATAGTTATTCACAGAATGTAGTGACAGCTGGCTTTTCACCATTAATAGTGGATCCGTTTACACACTTATCTGTTGAAGTCATGTTTTTACAACTGAGAAATTATTCCAGGATTGCTGGCGACCATTCTACCCCGGATGTGTAAACTTAAGCTCTTCTCTATTTCACGTTATTTGTACACATGTTCTGTGTATCTGCACACTGGGAGAATGCCTACCTGTGAGCTTCCGCGGCGATCTGTTTTGTGTTGTCCTTGGCATTCTAAGTGATCTGAGTATATGAATGGACACTGAAGAGGAGGGGGTGAATGGCGCATCACCTCCCATCCCTGTTGAGAATACTCGGACAGTAATCTACTGAAAGTAACTTGTGCCGGTTGTTAACTCTTGCTTAGTCACATATTGAGGACAGAACATGCCCTCTTAATCAGAAGTTGATCAGTTAGCATAAATAGGCAGATAAAGCAGGAAGTCATAAATAAAGATTTTAATTAAATTTTCATTATTCCCTACGTTCCTCTTAGTCTCCTTTGCAGTTTTTCTTCCCTAACCTTTCAGTTTTGGGGTTCTTCCATGAGGCTTAGTCTCGCTGCATTCCTCGGTGCTCTTTCCTGTCTCATGACTTTAAGTATTAATATGCTGTCAGTTTCTAAGTTTCTATTTCCAATTCAGACCTTTTTCCCAAACTGGAGACTTAACTGCCTACTGGACATCTCTACTTGAATATCTAAGAAGCATCTCAGAGGTCAAATGCCAAGGTTGAGCTCTCACCCCCTCTGACCCGCCCAACACCTGCTCAGCCCCGTCTTCCCCAACAGCTAACATCAACACCATCATTTCGGTTGCTTAGGCCAAAATTTTGAGATCATTCTTGACTCTTCTCACACCCACGTCTAATACATCAGGAAGTCTTTGTGTACCGTCAGACAAGACCCAGAATCTGGCCACTTACTACCACTTTCACTCCTGTCACCTTTTGCCTGTGTCACTGCAGTAATACCTAATAGGTCTCTGCCTTCTGCTCTTGCCTTCTTGCAGTGTATTCTCTGCACAGCTGTTGGTGTTTATCATGTCTGTTCAAAATCCTGCAGTGGCTCCCCATTTCTGTCAGAGTAAAGCTCTGGTGCTTAAAAGATTCCTCCATGACTTGGCCCTTGTTAGCTGTCACCAGATCTCCCAGTACCTTCCCCCATGCTCACTCCATTCCAGCCACTCTGGCCTTGTTTTTCATACAGGCTGGCTCGCTCCCCACTCTTAGCCTTTGAGTGGGCCATCCCCTTGCCTGCAATGCCTTGAATATCTACATGACAATGTCCTCTTAATGAGGTTTATTTTCACCTTCGTATTGAAGAGTGGAACCCACTGTCTCCCTTACTCTGCTTTATTCTTTTTCCAAGCATTTATTACCTAACACAATACATGTTATCTAGCACAATATGTATTATGTTTGTTGTTCGTTAGAATATAAAGGCCCATGAAAGCAAGGATCTTGTTTTATTTACTTTTAAGCCCGAAGTGCCTACATCAGTGGTGGCACATAGCTGTTCAATAGGTAGTTGAATGAATGACTGTCCTTTTAATGTAAGTCTATCACATTATTTTGTTAGCTTAAGCTTATAGTACTAAGGTTGTAGAAGCTATTCGGCAGCATCTTTCAAATTTTAAAATATGTGTAATGCAAAAATTGCCATTTTCACCATTTTTAAGTGTACATTTCAGTGGCATTAAGTACATTCACAATGTGCAACCATCACCAACTATCCGTTTCCAGAACTTTTTCATCATCCCAAACTACCCATTAAACGATAACTCCCCATTTCTGCCTCACCCCCAGCCCCTGGCAACCTCTACTGTACTTTCTGTCTGATTTTGCCCATTCTTAGTACCTCGTGTAAGTGGAGTCATACAGTCTGTAGTCCTGTATGACTGGCTTATTTCACTTAGCATAATGTTTTCAGGGTTCATCCATATTGTAGCATATATCAGAATTTCCTTTTTATGGCTGGATAATATTCCAC